CGAAATATATTATTTAATGTATCTTTCCCTTTCTTCTGACTGTGTCGTACCACAACTTTAATGAATAAAAAATACTCATGACATGAACTGCTTAATTTATTATATTCAGTCGATGCATCAAATTTATTGATGCTCTTATTTCTTTCGATTTGAAGATGACACTGATTCCGCATTTCCCACGACTGTTATACAAAATATTATTAATTAAAATTTTCAGTACATTCATTACTTTTATTAATTTAGTAACTAACTATTTATTTAGATTACGAAATAGCTTAACAAGTACAAAATTTGAGCTTTTAATAAACTGTGTACTTACATTTAAATTCATAATGTTAACCATTGTTAAGTATAAAAGATTTGTACAACTACTTAATACTAATAACTTACTATTTATTCCTCTATTCTCATTATTAGTAATGACCCCGAAGACTACTAAATAATATACTATAGACAATATCATACATAATATTTTCCTGAGAACACATGCTATAGTCGACTTACACGAGGAAGACAAGACACTAGATGGAGTAATAATTCCTGACCAAAGATCAAGATGGAAGGTTCCGCTTGTAAATGCGATGCTTCGATATTCACTTAATGAAGACATATTGAATCGCTAAGCGGCAGCAGACAAGATATAGGCGCAATGTTCAAATTGACATGCGGCTCTTTTATGTGACATCTAATTGATCTTAAAGTCAATTTCCATAAAAATCTGCTTAATCTATATAAATAAATATTAATTGCCGAATGTATTCATGTCAACGCATTATTTTAGGATGGTTGTAAATATATGGCTAATTATTTTCTTTTAGTCTTGGATTATAAATGACTGACCGTTTATAATCCAAGACCAATAATATTTGTATGAAAGAGAATATTTGAAAATATTCAAGGAAAGTAAAAAAATTGGGTTAAATACTATTATAGGTATTGTCAGGTTATTTCATAACATGGTCTTATGTAAATATAAGAAATAAAAAAATTTTTAGTAGATTGCTAGAACACTCAAGTTAAGAGATACGTATATTTTACTACTAATTGCAATTACGATTGCTGTATTTAGTATTGCCGATGACATGAAGATATTTTAAATGAAAGCCAGATTGCAACAGATTATTGCAATTTAAAATACCATCAAAAATAATCAAACTATAAAAAACTTACTAATATTATATACATTAGAGAAATTTATAGCCTGTGTGTCATTCTGATGTATAAGCTACATATATTATTGTAAAGTTTCATTAAAATCCATTCAGTAGTTTTTGCGTGAAAGAGTAACAAGCATCCATCCATTTATACACGTTTATAATATTAAGTAAAATTGTTCTTTATAAAGATACTTCGTTAGTTATTGCATTGACGAAGTAGCGAAATATTTCTATAATTACATAGTTTTACCAATATCAATTAAAAAGTGTCAGTGGATACAAAAACCCTCATCAATTAGCGAGGAAGAGTGCAGGGCAAAAACAAAACTGCTGGCCCTCTAATGTTTTATTTAGCTAAAGCGGGGAGACCGTGAAAAAGTTAACTTAGATTTTTAAAAGTTTGTTCGAAAGTTACGCCCGCAGCATCCCCGTCTGGCTTCCCACCTGATAAAGTAATTTTACGATTCCCTAATTCACACTTTTGAGGAGGGTTTAAAAAAGTCGAAAGGTTCTCTTCTCTGCCCTTAAATGTAATTGCGATCGCGTTAGTAACTTTATGCCGACCATTTTAATTTTTAATCACTAACGTCATGTCATTTGCTGTTAATGATTCACTGTTTGTGTTTTGATTAGTATAGGAATTACAATGGTATATATATAGGTGTATTTTTTGTACATGATAATAAAGTTGGTTCAAGCTGTAGTGGTGGGATGTTATCTGCAGCTTGTCCTCTGTCCTGCGAGCCCTCATAAGAAATATATAGTATTCATAACATAAGCTTAGTTCGGGACTAGGTGATGCCGTATTAATTTCCAGGGTTATTATTATACAGACGCCAATTCCTACCACTTTCCATCAGGTAAGAAAAATTTTCGATAGCTTGCTTAGTACTCTAGTTATATAAAAAAAATAGTGGAACGACCCAAACTTGCACTATACGGAGCATATGAGAGTCCAATTTCATGTACCGAGGGGCCCTATTGTGTAGTCGAACAAAAACGGAGTACTTCAAATTTCTTGCGTTCAAAATAAGAACAAACATGTCATCGACGAAATGACGCGTGTCGACCAATCGGGCGCGACGGCCGCAGACGTCGGTGACGTCACATGGCCACCGACCAATAAGAGTAGCCCGTCGCCTCCGGTCAACTTGGACTAATTGCCCATGTGTGCTGTAACGTTAGTTTTGAGAAGAAACCGTGCGCATGAGTTGACTCATTATATTATTTCCACATAAAGATTACATTAAATTACATGGAAGCGATTTAGAAAAAGAATACGTTAGACCGTTGTATAAACTTAATGCTTATCTCAATGCTGTCATACTATATAATTTTTATATCATAAGCAAATTAATATTTAATCTATTCTATTTTTAAAATGAATAAGAAAAGTTGATAGCATTATTCATGATAAAACAAAAAACAACGAATTTTTGGAAAGTATCTATTCGCAACATACTTTCCCATACAATTTCTGACCATTCTACTTGAAGGTTGTTGTAAACTATGAGAACAGTTTTGACGCCTCACTGTTAGTTATAATGAGTAATTAAATTAAGTCTAACCGTTGGCCAGTGAGAAGTCACAGATATCGAGACAATGGCGAAGGTATCATAACAGTTTCTAATGTTTGCTAACTCACATGATCAAAATCTGTGTTTTTAGCATTTTGCACACAGTATAACTCACATCCGTCTTATTATTTATAAATATTGTTTATTTCTTAATCTTATCTTCTAGCCTTAGATGCAGAATTAAAATACTCGACTTGGATAAGGAGCCAACTCTAGTATATTTGTCCTTTTTAGATGATAGGGGTTGTAAATAGGATACATAATCTGCGGTTGGATAAAAATAATTCAAGTACTTAATTTCTAGATATGAGATCAGAGGTTCTCGTTAAATAAAGATTTTTGTACTCAATGGAGTGCAGACTCGAATATTGTCAAGCAACCTATCCGATTATAATACTGTTATTGATTGAATTTAACAGAGATTTAAAAAAAGCTTATTCTTTGATTTTAGAACTGTGTGTGCTTATATAGGATTTGTTAATAATAGTCCTAATATTCATTCGTTATTGTGAGTGTTATCTAAATGTAAAATAAAATATGATCAATAGACATCACTATCAGATGTAGCTAGTTATATTTTAGTTTTGTACATGTTCTGTCATTAATATACAAACATTGCACCTTCTTTTCCTGATATCCCTCTTTCAGACATGCAGTTCTATGCAGTTACAGGAATTATTTTTGGTACACATTTTATACTATTTTAAACATTATACAGTTTTTGACGTATTTTAAAAAAGGATGTTTCGTAGATTTATTATCTCAGAACTCCATCATTCGTAAACCAACTGTAGTCTAAAAATAAAATGTTTCCATATTAAATAATTAATATGGAAACATTTTATTTTTAGACTGGTTGTATGTATTTAATATGTTGCAGTGTAAAAACCTATAGTTATTATCACTCTCATAAATGTATGCAGAGGTAAATAATCTAGCCTATAATATTTAACCCTGAAATTATCTCCATTTGTAAGTGATTTGGTTTCATAGTCAACAAAATTATACATTGCTATAATAGGTGTCGCTAAATACAATGTTGCCTTATGAACTCAGATTGTAACTTAAAGTGATCTGTGCAGTTAATAAATTAATTATCCTTGGCAGTTACATTGTAGTTTTACTACTACTGACCTCAGACCTTACGCTAAGGCTATAAGGTAACTAATTGTTGGATCGGCCAATAATTATACCTATAGGTAATCTGATTAACCTCAAAAACACCAAATCCAAGAAACATGACAGACTAAGCAATAATTAGTTAGTATTACGTCAAATACTAATGTTGATGACTACAATGTCTCTTTATTGGTCATTTCTGCAATGACCGTTTCTACTTTATCGTTCCTACAAACGTGATTGGGTAATAAAGCTTTATCTGCAATTTTATTTCTTTCGTGAAAAGTTTCTTTTGAACCGACATTGAAAAAAGCAGAAGGTTCTGAATTGGCATGTACTTTTTTTATAGTTGTTACTTCAGCTTTTCGCCATTCATGAATTTGGGTGTGATTTGTAGCATTATTTTTTTTTGTTTCATAGGATACATATTTTATATTAGTATCATAGGTTCATTTAAATCGATTCACTAGTTTAATTATCTTATTAAAATAATGTACGTTTATAATCTAGACTAGATATAATGATGCAAGCTTAATTTTTTAATACAAAATATATTCATTCAGTGGCTAGACTGTGATATATATTGTATCTTAAAAAGGTTTTCTCGATCTCGCCGAGTTATGAATTTTTGAAAAGGCTACTCTAAGAGGCTAGAATACAATATGCTGTCCCTTTTGGACAAGATGACCACGGCCTAGAGTCAATATTGACACAAGCTCGGCTACTAAGTAGCTCGTTTGCATGAATAGAGTCTCGCCGGCACAGATGGGATGCACTTGCGTATGTTTACTTAGATGATATACTACAGATAATGAAAAATTAAAACACACAGAATCGTTACTTTTTCACATATAAATTAAATGTAAATTTGTTTTTAAGTCTTTGAAATTATAAATATAATTTAATTATTAAACTATGTGGGCGACAGAATTTATTTTATGTACTTTACCTATTTTAAACATTATTTTATGAAGTATTCTAAACTTTTTTGTTTTGTTACATTAATACCTGCTATTTGAATTTAGCTTCAAAATACACCAAATTTGCTATTGTTATATTATTTCACTGATAAATTATTTATATATACTTATTTCTAATCTCTCTTTATTAAGATTATTTCTTTACGCTAAAATTTATTTAAACTTACCTTGCGCGATGCGTACAGCTGGCATCTTAATTCTCATCTTGATTTGGTCACCTATGTTTATATCTTCAACAACTGCTTTATCGCCAGAAATATTTATCTCAATATCTTGGCTATCAGGCGACAGTTCTAATTCACTTCACACGCACCGCCGACGGTCCAGCGGTTTATCGCAAGTTTTTAAACAGTTTTTGATAAAAAAGTCAGTTCCATCACAGTTTCGTCCCTAAATGTCCGACGGTAAACATCATCAACAAACATTTTAGTCATCTTCTCAACTTCTTCATTGTAACCAATTTCATCTTACGATTTGGACCAACTACTTTTTTCTTTTCATAGTGTTTCGTGACGGCATAATATTATTGTTAAACCACCACTAGTTAACTTGCCAAAATTTACTGGTCATACGCAGTCTTATCTATAATCGTACGGGTGTCTTAGTACCGTATCTAATCTATCCACACCTAGTGGCGATCTTCCGATTAGACAAACAACATCTGGTCACTTTTGATATCATTATCTTCGATTTTAAAACTTCATCACTTTTTTTTAGTCTTTCCAAGAAAAATAAAATGATTCACTTTTAGTTTATTTAATTTACTAAAATTGTTCTAAATTACTAATAGTTTTTATTTTTCGGTATACATTAAATGTCAATGAAATTGGTGAACAATAATTTCGTTCGTATTGGAAATGTTTTATATGTTTACGATACAGCGTGTCGCGATCGAGCACGTCGCGCGTGTAGAACGGTGCGAGGCAGGTGCGCGGCCGGCCGCCCGCTCTCGCCCGATGTCCGAGAGCGTCTGTCCTGTGTCCCTTTACGCGAGGGCTCCGCGGCCTCCGCATGTCCACGAGTAGCTCCGTCTCGCTCGGACGGCCGACGACGGCGCGTGCGAGTCCGCACGAAGTGGCCAGGGGTTACTCGCGGTCGCCGCCGCCTCGGCTGCTCGACAGAGACAGGGCCTCGCGTGGTGCGCCTCCGCCCGCGCACGGCCGACAGAGACAGGCATAGGTCATAAGTGCCGTGCGTCAGTGTGCGTGCGCGGGTGGGGCGAAGATGCAGCGCCACAAAAGAAAAGGGATAATATTTGCCTGCATATTTCATGACTCGATTAGGAGATGGAATTTTTAATTGAATGGACCAACGCGCGGTCACTTCGAATTTTAAAAATTTATATTAACAAAATGATTTGTAGTTGACGTTTAAGTAGTATGGATAATTTGTGAATGAATAACGTATAATTAAGAACTACATTAGAAGTAATAGTAATGAAATAATTATATAAAAATACTATTTTTGTAATTAATATTTAAATAATATTCACGAGAATAATAATAATGCCAATGAATTACTTACATAGATACTATAAATTTTTGTTAGTACAAATGTCCTATCTGTTTTCGTAGAGTGATGCTACGCAGACTACGTTCGTCGTAGCACCGCGCCGTACGCTACTGGTCAATTGAATTAATTTTCTTTGATTTGTAATTTTTATTTTAGTTTATTTTGATGCCATTAATATATATCTATGTAATATAATATAGCATGTATGTATATAACCTTACGATGAGAACTTTATATTGTAATATACGTAATATATTTATTTTCAAAATACAAATGAAGGTATTAATTAAGTAGGCTAATAATGTTAATTGCAAGTTTAGTATGATAATTAAATAATAAATTCGTAGCAACACGTAGTCGAAAACAAGAACGCCACTAGATCGTTCACTCTCACTCGCGCTAACTTCCGAGCGAATTTTTTTCCCCGCGTTATTTTACTTAAAGCGCCACGAAGAACTTATCTTGGTCGGTCCTTGACTTTAATAAGTTTTATGAGTGTCAGTCGAGACTTAACGGGCGCGAGAACGGGCGACGAAAAGAACTTTTTCATAATTGTTTCTGAACAGTCTCGAACGGGAACTTCGCAAATGCCGCGTTCGATTATTGAAATTTCAAATTGTTCCACGATTGACTGTTATGACTGCTTTCTTCTGTAATTCGCATTAAATGATTTTAACGTTCTTTTTTTGAATATAGAATTATTCATACTTTTTTTGCACAAATCTATATCTGACATCTAAAGTCACATGCATAGGAATAATTTTGGAAATATTAGCACATATTTTTTTTTTTTTATTTTATTTGTCTCTCAGTATTTTTTATTACATTTTTATTAAAGTCTATATTGTCCCCGTAGTATTTTCTTAAGCAAATTGTCAACATTTGTAGACTACCTTACTTATAATCACTTAACGAAATTAACAAATGTGGATACTCAACTAAATAATACATGGTATTTTTTACTCACAAATTCAATGTCGTATGTCGGTGTAATGTTCTTTAAGCAATTTTATTTAAAAAGATTGAATGCTTATGATTAATTATACACATAATTATTCAATTTTTTACTATACTTGTAGAAAATGACAGAAAGTTCACAGATAATTATAATATACATATAATCTTTCAATTATAATATACATATAAGCACACAAGATGAGAAATTTCACGCTGATGCATTGTCCATTGTATTGTTCTAATAAAAACGTAAATATATTAATAGAGACTTATCAAAGTAACTACAAGTCCTAGTTGAAATGTAATAAGTGTTTTAACGTAGTTGAAAAAAAACGGGAATTTTAATTCGTTCCTTTTATATGTAAGGATATTGCTTATATTTTTAATAAAAAGAGTTTACTGCAGTGTTGTTATAATATATAATGTTATAATTTCTAAATTATGACTATTATAAATTTATCAAATTGAAATCATAATCCGTTATTGAATACGTATATTATTATAACCAGCTAACAAAGCATTTTTGTTAGTATCCAATAGAATAAAAAAATAAAAAGTTTATCTAAATAATCAAATTAAGATTAGAATAATGTTTTTGGAAAAATAATTATTGCTTATTTTTTCTTAAACCACTATGTGAATGCACCCTATAGTTACATTCAGCACTCAAATACACTCGGATAGGTCACTCAAGAAAACTACTTGGTCATCGCGTGTCCATCTCAAAATACAACCTTGAAAATATCTCCGTCCTTATTTAATCAACAGACTTAATAGCCGAAAACAGAGACGGCTGAAGGGTTGTCCGTTTTCCCCCGTGGAAACTCTCGGATATAATGACCGATATACGACTATCCCGTTCATGTGTAGGGTGCGTGGGTGTGTGGAAAGGGATGGGGGCTCATACGTACGGGGTTTTCTCGACGCTACTCGACGCTAGGCGGCGTGGAAAACGCTGTTCTGTTTTCGGGTTCTTACAAATGTAGAAGTACGTAATATCTTTGATTGGATTAAAAAATAGAAAATTAATAAATCTTGACTTAGAGGAAAAATTAAAAATATACTCATTAAGGAAACAAAAGTTAAAACCTGACTGTTTCAAAACAGAAATTGAAATTCAAGAGAAAAATCTGCTAGTGTTTTGTTTAAATTACTGATTATTTCTTAGTAAATTTATCGCTCTCTGTTCCATCAGCGCCGGCAATAGAAATAGAAATAAAAATAATCTTTATTTAAATAAACTCAGTACAAGTATATAATAAATAAGTACTTTTGAGTAGACATTTTTTTTTTATTCTACCACTCATTTGAAACGCAGATTTATCACAAGAAGAATGAGCAAGAACCTTGTGTGTTGGTCTTTTGAATAAATGTTTTCAATGCTACCTAAGCGCAATTAGAACTAAAGCTTGTATTTGGAAACTACATAATGCATAGACGTAAAATATCTACTCTCAAAAAAAATCGTAAAGTAATGTATTTACTTGTATTTTTTTTTAATATATGAGAAATGAAGGGTGCACCAGCCTGTGCTAACAGTTTACGCTGGCGGGGCATCAGAGCTGACGATAAGTTGAGCATGACGTCAAATCCGTTAACACATGAATTTAAAAAGAAATTATGGAAAATTTCCCATGAATTTAGCACGATGGTTTCCAGGGGGAACCGTGTGGAGGTCAATCTACATGGTATATTGTTAATAATGGGGTCATCAATCCATATTACTAGCAATCTCTTCCTCTTACTTCTTATATATATTACAGATTAATAAAACAAAATACTTTTATTTGATTTGATTTCGCTTCAGCATTAGCTAAGACAGTCATTAAGTAAAAAATCTAATCCAGAACAACTCTTTTGAAATCGGTTAAAACTAAGTTAGTAAACTGTCATATGAATCTTGAAACTGTAATTAAGTAAACTGCATTTTTTTCTTTAACTAAACGTTAAAACGGATACATTTTTTATTCCGTGACAGATGTGTGCCAGGATACGAGATTGTCCAATACGAGACGTAACGTTATATCTGTAAAAGTATCGGGTTCGAATCCTGTTGACGTTATTTTTTGTCACGCGAAATTTAACTGTTACAAGTTCTGTGTGCTTTCACGATATTTTATTAAACGTGTAACTAACTGAACTGAAATAGGATTAGCATTTTTCAGTTTCATTATATTTTTTTTATAGTATAAATGTTCGATGTCTGCCTGTTTGTTCCTTTCACGAGTTAACTGCTGAACGAATTTTTAATAAAATTACATATAATGAGATGAACTTCATAGCATTAATGGATTCACCGAGTGTCCAGTCTATCGTGTGGTAATTCGAGCAGTTCTCGGGACTTGTGACCCGGGTGTTAGGCCTCTTGCCGGTGTATGGCAACACTTACCTTCAATTGTAGAGGGTATTAAGAAAAGAAGATAAACTTTCTTATAACCATCCTAATCAATATTGTAAATGTGAAAGTGAGTTTGTTTGTTGCCCTTATGAAAGGCATAAGCCCTACCAGCTAAAACAACTATCCTATTTTTTTTATTTAATATTTTTTTTATTTAGTATTAAATAAATATCCTAATTATATGTTCTGCTTGTAAGTAACATAAAATGAAGAGGAAAGCCGTGTAGCTACTACATTTATCCTGGTTAATTATTTAATCAGGCGGATAAAGCCGTAAGATTGTAAGGGACAGTTTCTGAGTGACACCTATTAGCGAAAAGCTTAAAGAATGTAGTATTAAGTGGTATGTATATACGTGTACTGTATGGAGTATGGACGTATTCTGCGCAAACTCGAAAACCACGTCGTGAAAAGGTGCCTTTCCATAGCTACAATGACAAAAGGACGAGACAAGAGGACAGAATTGCTCAACCAACTACCTGGTTGAGTAATGACCATAGGGACATGAAGGAGTTTGGCCAGTGAAATGCATGGAACCTTAAGATTAGGAAAGTAGACCCCGCCATACAGGCAGAAGCGATAAAGGAACAGGACAGGAAGAAAAAGATAAAGCCATTAGCAGAAACTAGTCTTAACTAATGTTACAAATACTTCGATTAATAATTATTGGCTAACAAGTCTATCAGATAAACGCAACTAGTTTATTTTGATTTGATTTGTTAAAAATAAAAACAAATCTGACATATATAGTATAACAAACAAAATCTGAGTGTCCCGAACTTTGACTCATAAATTATTTCTTTAATTAACAGAGACACTCGCCCGCCCTGTCCCTTCCAAGGGCAAGTTTAAAATAGATCAGGCCAGTACTAAACCTGAGGATACAATTTGGTACACACGTGTGTCCGACAAGAATTAATGTAGAATGGTATCTATACGATGACGTATAACAAACTTAATTAGTACATTTACAAAATAATTTATAGACTTTATCTCTTAGTGTTACAGTTGGGAATTCTTTAATTCTGTTGGTTTGAACGGTATAGTATATGGTGGTGTTTTTAGGGTGTCCTCACAGACGGAAATAGAC